ATATATAAATGGTAACACTTTATTTTGATAGTCCACTTTAGACATTCTACTAATAGTAGGTAACTTTGCAACTACATGTCAACTAGCAGTCATTAGAGTATTAGTAGACTGTCTGCTTAATATCTTCTAACAATTTATTTTGATGGGTCCACAACATACAACATACTGACTATCAGAAACTTTGCAAGTATATGTCAACTTATTCTACAAACCCTAAACCTACCCTAAGTTTACTCTGAGAGTTAGTGGACATGCAGTTGCAAATTAATGAGAATTAGTTGACATGTAGCTACAAAGTGGACTATCAAAATAAAATGAAACCTTATAAATATTAAATTTAATATTACAATATTGTAAAATTGTAATGTTATTTTAATATAAAAAAAGAAAAAAATTAGCTGTTAATCGCTAAAAAAGCTGATTAACATTGGAGAAGACCTTTTATTCACAGTGTCGTATCACATCACATAAAGTTAGGACATTTTGTCAGTCTGACTGTTTAGAAAAGAAACAGCACATGGCACTGCATGATTCAAGCTATCATTCATGTTAATATTTTTAATATATTATTTAGGGGTTAGGGTTAAAGGTGCAGTAGGAGATCTTGGAAAATGCTAACTTTAGCCTGATAGCACTGAAAGCGAATGTCCCACCCTCCCTGCAATCGCCGTCCAAAGCCACGCCCCCTGAATGCATGAACACGAACAGACCAGAATACCAGAGACAACATTACTACAATAGGCTACATCAGCGGTTCCCAATTCCAGTCCTCACATTTATTTACAGAGGTATATTATGTCACACTTCACACTTCTCTAGTAAGTTTCGTCTGTGTGTGAAGACACTGCAGCTCAAATCCATGAATGAATGTTCTGAAGTGATGTAAACTTCAAAGGATTTCCCTGCTCAGGGAGTAGGGAGCAGGGAACCGCTGGGCTACATCATGTGTCATTCACCTGTGAGACAACATCTCTGGGTTATGTATGTAGCCATGGTTCCCCGAGGGAACGAGATGCTTTGGGAACGCCCCTGCATGACCGCGTTCTGAAGCACGTGTCAAATCAGTCCAACGGAGTAGCGAGACGTCACAAGCGGGGTGATGTAAGCAACAGAAAGTATAAAAGCATATCCAACAGAGGGCAAACCAGCTTCGATGAAGTAGCGCCTGGAGGGATGCAGGGAGTATGGCAAAGAGACGCAGCGTTTCGTTCCCTCGGGGAACCATGGTTACATACGTAACCCAGAGACGTTCCCCTTCAGGAACTCGAGCTGCGTCAAAGTCGCTTTGGGAAAGAGAATACCCACTGCGCCGTACTACCAAGTCCCTGCCTGTGTGTATCTTGCGAGCACATCACGAAGAGAGAACTTGGGAACCTGGGGTACATGCCAGGTCTAGGTTGTAAAAACAGACAAAAG